TTCCTATCCAATTCGAGTGTCTAGCCAACTCACTCAGTTACCTCGCATCCAAAAATAAGATATATTTAGTAGCCGCTGAAACAATCACACAAACGAAGCAGCACTTGTTACCCTGCACGCTCCTTACGGTTGTTATCTTCAGTTGAAGTGCAGATAGCGTTGAAGTAAATTTCTCGCTCATCCGCTTCCCAGCTAATATCAATCACATACTTAATGTTTTTTACATGATTGAAATAAACTTTTACTTCTCATCCAAATAAACGGTTGCAACAATAGAGAGCGAAAAAACAAAATTCACTAATATATATATATATATATATGTATATCATATATAGATACATAGATAGATAGATAGATAGATAGGCTAATTCATAACAAAAAGAAAGTTTAAATAACAATTGGAAAAGAAACACCTGGACCAATCATAGGTCAAATTAACTAATCCTGTGAAACGTTTCAAATTTAAAATAACAACGGCAAAACAAAACATAATATGCATAATAACAACAAAGCTTAAAGTTTAAAACTCTGCAAAGCATAACGACGGCACTGTTAGCTTAAGCGGTGATTTAACATTAAATTTTGTGTTTAGGGGACAAGGAGGAGAGGAAGCACCCAGTAACGGAGAAAAGCATAAGAAAATATTGAAGTTCTGGGCGGTAAAAGTTATATTGTGTAATTAAAATCAACGTTAAAATTTAAAATGGGAATTAAGCTCATAATCTTACAGCTAATCATCAAATACACCAAGGGAGCTCATGACTCATTCCACTTCACAGAACAAAACCCCATACTTTTGCCCCCACTTCCCTATACGCAAATTGTAAACAAGTTACACAGATGTGAAATGTGTGCATTGTAAACAGAAGACTGCCTACCTTAGGGCGATCCCTCGTTAGCTCTACTGGTAGCAGTGGAGACAACTAAGCCAAATATAAATAGGTAAAAATATCAAACACGAGTACACGGAACAGTTTACTGCATTAATCAGGGCGACTGCTCTAGATTTTGACTTATTGGTAGGCAGTTGCTGATTTGATCGTCACGATTGAAATAAACGTGAAAATTTAAATTTTGAATTAAGCTCTTAACAATACAGGTAATCAACAGACAAGTAGTGGTATATACAAACCATCGAATAACGTTAAAGGCGCGCTCTGATTGGTTACTCAAGCTTACCTATATTGGCGCAGATTGAGAAATCTTTTCATCAAATGAATTACAAACTTGATGAAATAAAAAGCCTTTTCTGTAAGTGTTTTAGGAAAGGAGATAAACCATATTTCTGCAATTACCAAGCTGCATCTGTCGTCCCATAAAAAGATTTGTTCTGCTGAAATAACTGACTAATCTAGGTAGACATCTTTCTGAAATTTTTGATGATGTTCCTAATACCAGGTGAAAACGGAATATCAAATCACTCTCGAAATGTATCGAGAGCTTGGACATATTCACACCGTCAGATTAACTCTGGGAAGCAGATATCTACAGACAAGTTGCTCTTCAACCAGAATACCTTTTTTGGTCACAATTTCTTAATTTGTTAGGTAAGATACAATGAATATATGAAGTTCATATATTTTGAACTGCGGTTGTAAATACGTATGATACGTATGCATAAATAGCGCTCTTTACTGCGAGGATCGTGCATCATACGTATTGTTAAGTAAGATAACCACTTCAGTACTTACCGGCCTCGCAGCTTTTTTTCCTTGGGTAGCGTTACTTTCTGCTGCAGCATTTTTTTCTGATCCAGCATTTTCCTTTGCCATAAACAACTGAAAAGGCACAGATAAAATTCCGTTCGCCTTTGTAAAACTCACCATTGCACCCAGTAACGGAGAAAGGCATAAGAAAATATTAAAGTTCTGGGCGTTAAAAGTTTTATTGTGTAATTAAAATCAGTGTTAAAATTTAAAATGGCAATTACGCTCTTAATCTTACAGCTAATCACCAAATACACCAAGGGAGCTCATGACTCATTCCACTTCACAGAACAAAACCCCATACTTTTTCCCCACTTCCCTATACGCAAATTGTAAACAAGTTACACAGATGTGAAATGTGTACATTGCATTGTAAACAGAACACTGCCTTCTTTGGGGCCATCCCTCGTTAGATCTACTGGTAGCAGTGGAGACAACTAAGCCAAATATAAATAGGTAAAAATATCAAACACGAGTACACGGAACAGTTTACTGCATCAATCTGGGCGATGGCTCTAGATTTTGACTTATTGGTAGGCAGTTGCTGATTTGATCGTCACGATTGAAATAAACGTTAAAATTTAAATTTTAAATCAAGCTCTTAACAATACAGGTAATCAACAGACACGTAGTGGTATATACCAAACCAGCGAATAACGTTGAAGGCACGCTCTGATTGGCTACTCAAACTTACATTTATTGGCGCAGATGGAGAAACTCTTTTCATCAAATGAATTACAAACTTGATGAAATAAAAAGCCGTCTCTGTAATTGTTTTAGGAAAGGAGATAAAACATATTTCTGTGATTACCAAGCTGCATCTGTCGTCGCATAAAAAGATTGGTTCTGTTGAAATAGCTGACTTATCTATGTAGACATTTTTCTGGCATTTCATGATGTTCCTAATACCAGGTGAAAACGGAATATGAAATTACTCTTGAAATGCTTCCAGAGCTTGGACATATTAACACCATCAGATTAACTCTGGGAAGCAGATATCTAAACACAATTTGCTCTTCAACCAGCATACCTCCATTTGGTCACTATTTCTTGCATTGTTAAGTAAGATAACCACTTCAGTACTTACCGGCCTCGCAGCCTTTTTTCCTTGGGCAGCGTTACTTTCTAGATCTGGTGCATTTTTTTCTGATCCAGCATTTTGCTTTGCCCTAAACAGCTGAAAAGGCAGAGAAAAAATTCCGTTCGCCTTTGAAAAACTTACCATGCACCCAGTAACAGAGAAAGGAATGAGAAAAAATTGAGGTTCTGGGCGGTAAAAGTTATATTGTGTAATTAAAATCAACGTTAAAATTTAAAATGGGATATGAGCTCTTAATCTTAAAGCTAATTACCAAATACACCAAGGGAGCTCATGACTCATTCCACTTCACAGAACAAAACCCCATACTTTTTCCCCACTTCCCTATACGCAAATTGTAAACAAGTTACACAGATGTGAAATGTGTACATTGCATTGTAAACAGAACACTGCCTTCTTTGGGGCCATCCCTCGTTAGATCTACTGGTAGCAGTGGAGACAACTAAGCCAAATATAAATAGGTAAAAATATCAAACACGAGTACACGGAACAGTTTACTGCATTAATCAGGGCGATGGCTCTAGATTTTGACTTATTGGTAGGCAGTTGCTGATTTGATCGTCACGATTGAAATAAACGTTAAAATTTAAATTTTAAATCAAGCTCTTAACAATACAGGTAATCAACAGACACGTA